CCTAGTGTTGGGCTTGATGGACCTGAGGAAAGGGCCACCTTGACCATGGCCACGGCTTTAGACCCTGCCCTTGTTCTCTGCCTGCCTCTCACTGGTGTCTTTATGAAGCTTTTCCAGGCTCCCAGACTCATTCTGGGCCTGAGCTCGGCCCTGTACCAAGCCCTGCTGCTCTCCGACCACCGCCACCACGTCTGGCCCCTTCTTCTACCAAGGTAGGTGAATCCTGCCCCCAGGAAAGGTTCCAGACAAGTAACAAGAAACCCAGTCTTTGGTACACAAGGGAGCCCCAGCCAGCCCATAAGGGCCAGCTGGAAGGCAGCTGGGATGGGGGGTAGCTTGTGGCCAGGGCAGAGGGCAGGAGACAGGACATCACTTGATTGTGGTCTCTTCCCACAGCAGAGTCCAGGGAACTCAGTGTCCCTCCTGCATGGTACCCACCCCTCTCCATTCTGCTGGCCACTCCATGAGATTTCCCAGGGCACCCACAACTTCTCAGAGGAGCTGAAGATCGGAGAGGGCGGCTTTGGGTGTGTGTACCGAGCTGTGCTGAGGAACACAGTGTATGCGGTCAAGAAGCTGAAGGAGGTGGGTACAGCATCTCGGTGAGGGCCTTGGAAGGCCAGCAGCAGACCCTCACTTTTCTGGTCTTACCCCCTGCTTCCCACACAGCTCCTTAAGCCCTCTTGATTCCCCAGCTCAAGGTCCCCAGCCCCTTGGTTGTTCTGGGCCCAGGACAGATGGCACTGGGAATGGCCATCGAGCCTTGGCTGCAAGAACCTCATGATGCTCCCCCTGCCCCCCCCCCGTTTTCCCTGGGGGCTGCAGGAGGCAGACCTGGAGTGGACCACTGTGAAGCAGAGCTTCTTGACAGAAGTGGAGCAGCTGTCAAGGTGAGCCTGGGGTGTCCCTCTAGGACCGCGCACCACAGGACCTGGCTCCCCCAGGCCCCAGAAGCTTGCCATGCCCAGCCTAGCTGAGACCAGCAGAGACTGCCCACCCCCGACACAGCCAGATGGAAAGCGCGGTGGAGGCTAGGTGGCAGAGCACTCAGGCCCCAATTTTCCAAGCAGGTTTCGTCACCCAAACATCGTGGACTTTGCTGGCTACTGTGCTCAAAGTGGCTACTACTGCCTCGTCTATGGCTTCCTGCCCAATGGCTCCCTGGAAGACCGCCTCCACTTCCAGGTAGTCTCACCTGGCCTGGCACGCTTCCCCAGACCCGCAGCGCCTGAGTGGTGTGGAGCATGGGGCCTGGACTCTCAGCCTCCGGGAGTGAGTCCCACCAGCAGGCAGTGCCTAGGCTCAGGGTTTGTCCCAAGGTGGAACACTGTTTTCCCCAGGACTCTTCCCCATGGCCTCTTCCTGGCTATTCTGCGTGCCCCGGAGCCTGGGCCATAGTGCCTCTAAAAAGGGGGTTATTGACTCAGAGTAACCTGACTCAGGCGTCTCCCTTTTGCAAACAGAGTAGCTGAAGGGTCTTGTCAGTATTGCTGTTGGAGAAACGGGGCAGTGAGCAGCAGGCTGCACTATCTGGACCCACAGTTGGGCCCTATCTAGCGAGGCACCCACAAGACACAAGGGTGAACTGCACACTGTTGGGGGACGTGGAGAGAAAGCCTCTGATGATGTCCTGATCGCACTGGGACAAATGAATGAA